GTTCTCTCACTGACTGTGTTTTGTTTTTGTTTTGAGATGGAGTTTCACTCTTGTCGCCCAGGCTGGAGTGCAGTGGCGAAATCTCGGCTCACTGCAACCTCTGAGGCCTTACAGGTTCAAGCGATTCTCCTGCCTCAGCCTCCTGAGTAGCTGGGATTACAGGCGCCTACCACCATGCCCAGCTAACTTTTATATTTTTAGTAGGAACGGGGTTTCACCATGTTGGTCAGGCTGGTCTTGAACTCCTGACCTCAGGTGATCCACCCACCTCGGCCCCCCAAAGTGCTGGGATTACAAGAGCCGTGAGCCACCGTGCCCAGCCTATTGACTGTGTTTTAATCAATGGCTCAGTTATTTACAAATAATACAGGTAACAATAGAGCATAGGACCAGGTTCCTCAGGCACAGTCTTGGAGTCAAATTCTGCTTCTGCTTCTGCTTCTTACTGTAGATGAGGGGTTTAGGGAGTGATCTGGAGAAAGAAGCAAAAAGGATGCTTGATTGGGAGGCTAAAAAGGAAGCTCTTGGATAAGCTCTCACTTTAAATGTATACAAATAGTGCCCACAGGAGATGTTAAAGAAAAATTTCCTGTTGATACTTGTTAAAATGGTAAGGCAGATTTTATCCGGGATTAGTGTAGGGACATCTGCAGGAGGGTCTTGCTATCAAGGAGAGAAGCTGGGCTCAACTCCAAATGCAGCACAGTAAGTGGCGATTCGTAGCCAAGGAGTAAGGTGAAGTCAGTGGGTGGAAAATTACTAAGGAGAAACACGGGGAGTCAGGGGATTCTGGCTAAGCTGACCTGGTGCGATTCTTACTGATGACCAGGCAGGGTGATCAGACATCACCTGGGGGATGATGAGGGATGAGGAATTTGATCAGATTTGAGGGTGATCAGATATTGGGGGTGGGGGCATGCCCAAGGATGGGGCCTAACCGGGCTCAGAGGAGCCTGGCTAAAGTTTGGTCAGGGACACAGTCTTTGTCAGTGGCTATGAAAACACAAATATGAAAGCGTGTGATAGGCCTGGAATAAGAGCACTAGACTGAACGGAGCTTCTTGAAAATGTTAATGACAGAAGAAGGGATTTTGCTGTTTATTCTCAACAACAGAAGGCAGAGACAAGGCAGAACCGCTCTGAGTCCATTTGACTTCTGTCTTCTCTACCAAGGAAAACAGTGTCAGTTGGAAATGACTGAGAGAAGTTGAAGCTTTCTGCCTGTGAGAAGAGGGCACGGGTGGGTTTCGCACCTGTAAGTGAATCTCTGGCCCAGAGTAGGGAGACCGAGGGCCATCACTGAGTGGTATCCGAGGACTGCAGGTGGCTTGCATTGTTTCAGCAAGTTGGCGGGTCTCAAAAACCCTGCACTGATGTTAATTCCTGCAAAATCTGAAACTGAGTTATTAAATGGATGATTTATGAACTGTTAGGATGGTGAGTTTCTTGTGCTCCTGGAGAGTAGGTCAGCGCAAAGGAATCCCATCTCCCACGGATCAGGGGTGTCTTTCATGAAGTGCACGTTCCCTCTAGCAAGGCTTCTCACAAAGACCTCCTGAGATGCATGTGAACGAGGTGAATTGCTGGCGAGATGAAACTGTAATTACAAAACTTTTCAGATGGTTTCCCACGTATATGTACTCGAATTGTGCGTTGATGGAATGAAGGCCGTGGCCTTTCTGGATTGTTTACTTTTTCATCTCCTCTCTTTCCTAGATGTGTGAGTGGGAGCAAATTGTTCAACCTCTCCAGCCCTCAATATTTTGTGAAAAATGCCTCAATCTCTAACTGTTTATGACTCTATGAGTAATCACTTCATACACACCTGGAGGGATGTCATTTTCCTCTGAATTCTCTCCCTGATTCTGTTTCATCATTTTTCTTTTTTTGAGATGGAGTCTTGCTCTGTCGCCAGGCTGGAGTGCAGTGGCACAATCTCGGATTGCTACAACCTCTACCTCCTGGGTTCAAGCGATTCTCCTGACTCAGCCTCCCGAGTAGCTGGGACTACAGGTGTGTGCCACCATGCCTGGCTAATTTTGTATTTTTAGTAGAGACGGGGTTTCACCACGTTGGCCAGGCTGGTCTCGATCTCCTGACCTCGTGATCCACCCACCTCAGCCTCCCAAAGTGCTGGGATTATACGCGTGAGCCACTGCGCCTGGCCCGTTTCTTCATTTTTCATGATTGACTTAGATTATAACGAATGTGTAGAAGATGTGAGGACGCTGGAGAGAATATAGATAAAAGGTCAGGCCCTGGAGTCAGATAATCCTAGGTATGAGTCTTGCGTCAATCCCTTCCTAATTGGATTTTTTTTTCTTTTTTTTTTTGAGATGGAGTCTCACTCTGTCACCCAGGCTGGAATGCAGTGGCACGATCTCGGCTCACTGCAACCTCCACCTCCTGGGTCCAAGCAATTCTCCTGCCTCAGCCTCCCAAGTAGCTGAGATTACAGGCATGCGCCACCACGCCTGGCTAATTTTTTGTATTTTTAGTATATATGGGGTTTCTCCGTGTTGGCCAGGCTGGTCTCGAACTCCTGACTTCAGGTGATCCACCCATCTTGGCTTTCCAAAGTGCTGGGATTACAGGCATGAGCTACCGCACCCAGCCCCTAATTGGATTTTGAGCAAGCTTCTTAACTTCACTAGACTTGGTTTCCTATCCTATTAAGTGAGAATAATATTTAACTTTGTATAAAGACTAAATGATTATATAAGGTATTATATTAAACAAACAAACAAACACGTAGTAGGGTGTCTGGCACAAAGTCAGGGCCCCCATAACTGTCAACTGTTTTTGTTTATGTTATTACTAAGCTGGGAGAGGTGACATTAGGTAACATATGTTTTAAAATTATTGTAGGGTGAAACTATGAGCTAAAACCTAGAATTTTATAGGGTTCAATGTAAAACCCAACATTTAGGTTGAACTGATCAGCTGCACGTGAACAGAATGGGAGAGACCTGGCTTAAGAGTGGCTCATGTCAAACGCATTTAGAGATTTTTAGGTGATTGTCAGCTCCACTTTAATCATCAGTATGCGGTTCCAAGGAAGCCAATGTTGTCTGAGGTTGCGTTAATGAGAATGCAGAATAAGTTATAGTGTTGGCCGGGCGTGGTGGCTCACGCCTGTAATCCCAGCACTTTGGGAGGCCAAGGTGGGTGGATCACCTGTGGTTGAAATTTCGAGACCAGCCTAACCAACATGCAGAAACCCCATCTCTACTAAAAACACAAAATTAGTCGGGTGTGGTGGCACATGCCTGTAATCCCAGCTACTAGGGAGACTGGGGCAGGAGAATTGCTTGAACCCAGGAGGTGGAGGTTGTGGCGAGCCGAGATTGCACCACTGCACTCCAGCCTGGGCAACAAGAGTGAAACTTCGTCTCAAAAAAAGAAAAAGAAAAAGAAGAAAAAGTTATAGTGCCATCGTAACCTTGTCCTGGTGTAGACTGTGTCCCCTGAGCTGTGTTCAGCCCGGCCCTTGTGTTTTTTGAGGAAGAAAAGCAGGCAATGAGACTGCTTGCCTTCAAATCCCAGCTCTGCTCTTAGATTAGCGCTAAGAACTTGGGCAAGTTATTTAACCTTTCTGTGCCTCTGCTTTCTAATTTATAAAATGAGAATAATAAAAATTGCATCCATCTCACAGGGCTGCTATGAGGATTCAGTGGGATGTAAATGTAAAGTGTTTGGAAACATGTAAGGTGTTTCCAAAGGTGTTTGACTCACTGACATGCTAGAGAAGTGTTGGTGGTAGTGCTGGTGGTACCATCATCATCGTCATTCTAAGGACATTGTCCATGTCCCCGAGGGACCTGATCAGAATGGTGATAGGTGCTGCATCAGTGAGACAAGAATACTGAATTCATGAACCCTCTTGCTCTTCTACTACCCTTGCCCCAAACACACTCCCTTGATATGGGCAGGCTTCTCACTTTTAGGCTTTGGTGTAAGTTGGAGTGCTCAGACATATACTCCTTTTGGTCTCTATCACTAAATTTTAGAAATCATCTCATTCAGGGCCCTCATTTTAGATATGGTCAAGGTCGAATAGAAGCTAAGAAACCAAGGTCCTGATCCTGCAATCCCACTTCTGGGTATTTATCCAAAGGCGTTAAAATCAGTATGTTGAAGAGACAGCTGAACCCCCATGTTCATTGCAACATGATTTACAATAGCCAAGATATGGAATCAATCTAGGTGTCCATCAACAGATGAATGAATAAAGCAAATGTGGTATATATACACAATAGAATACTATGCAGCCCTAAACAGGGGTGAAATCTGTGATTTGGGACAAGATGGATGAATCTGGAGGACATTACGCTAAGTGAAATAAGCCAGGCACAGAAAGACAAGTATTGCATGATCTCATTCATGGGTGGAATCTGAGAAAGTTGATCTCATAGAAGTAGAGAGTGGTTACCAGGGACTGGGGGTGGAGGGATTGTTGGGAAAAGCAGAGAGGTTGGTCAAAGGCTACACAGTTTCAGTTAGACAAGAGGAATAAGCTTTACTGATCAACTGCACAGCATGGTAACGATAGTAAGTAATAATGTATTCTACATTTCAAAATTGCTAAAAGTAGATTTTAAATGTTTCTACTGCAAAAAATAGTAAGTTTGTGAGGTGATGGGTTTGCTAATTAGCCTGATTTAATCATTCCACATTGTAAACCTATATCAAAACATCAAATTGTACTCCATAAACATATATTATTACTACTTGTTAATGAAAAATAAAAGTAAAATGAAAAACAAAGGAAAAAGAGAAAAAACCTCAAAAAAGAAAAAGAAAACAAGGTCCTGAGCCCTGTCCTGTTTTCCTTCCACTCACTACCCACCTCCTCCTCACATCTGATTGCTGAAGTCTCTCCAACTCCAACTCAGTTCCACTCCTTCTTACAGCATTTCTAGCTCCTCCACGGTGAGCTGGGCTACCCTTTCCCCATGCCTATACCATCGTAAGTTGTGCGTAGCTATTACAGTACTTACAGTCTTTGTTTTAGTGTCCATCATCTATGCCTCTCTCTTCACCCTGCTTGCCTAAAGAGCAAGGAGATAATATTCACTTTAGAGTCCCACTTGGCACAAGCATGGTGCTTTGCATGTATTAGACCATCATGAAACGCTCATTGAATTGGGTATTAAGATTGTGTCATGTGGACTATTTATCTTAGAAGAGAGAAGATTTAGGAGGAATGGAATTGACTCTCATGGAAGGATTCGATTCAGCTACCTAGTGCCAGAGAGCAGAATGGGGACCAGCGGCTGAAAGTCACCAGGGGGTAAATTTGATCCGGCTGTGTGGGGCGGATTCTTCCCAGTGACAACCATTTAACGAGGAGATGGGTGCCTCATGAGAGGTGAGTTGAGGGCATTCAAGCAGAGGCAGGATGGCCACTGTCAGGAATGGGGTAGAGGGGAACCCTGGGGATTCCCTGTTTATTAGCTGAGTTTCAACATTAATAGAAACCTTGGTGATGTTTTAGGTTCACATGTAGCTACAGACTACAGCAGATGCATGGGGTACCTGATACGCTAACAGGGTTGAGATAGGCCCAGCACTGCCCAGTAGACCTGAGTCTGGCTTAGGTTCATTCTTGGCTCCTGCTAGTCTAGTCTGCAAGAAGCTGTACTCGCAAAAGGCCAGCTCCTTTACCCACCATCTCCATTTCTTAACCCCTCCCTCACTCTTATACACCCTGCTCACTGCTGTCTGGTGGCCCTACGAGGTCAATTTCATGCTGCACTTTACTATAGTGAAAAGTCCTGAGTTTCATCTAAAAGCATTTGATGTGTCTCAAGTTAAATTCTAAAACCTTTCAGTTTAGCTTCAGTTTATGGTGCTATTCAATCTTTATCAAGCACTTCCCCCAAAACGTCCTAAATCCATCTCTTATGCAAGCTTCCACAGGCTGCATGAGGCCCAGGATGGCTTTGAATGTGGCCCAACACAAATTCATAAATATTTTACAACATTATGAGATTTATGCACGGCCATTCTTTTTTCTTTTTTACTTTTTTCCTTTTCTTTTCTTTTCTTTTTAGCTCATCAGCTATTATTAGTGTTAGTGTGTTTTATGCGTGGCCCAAGACAATTTTTCTTCCAATGTGGCCCAGGGAAGCCAGAAGATTGGACACTCCTGTAAATAGGCTCTTAGGCTCGAAGCTATAGTTTTTATAGTTCTGCCTATTCTATTTCCTTCTCAAATTATGGGTCTCACGATTCCTTTTCAATTTGGGTCCCAGATCTACTCCTACAAGCTTCTGGCTAAAACCTTTCTGTTTTTGCAGACTCCTCACTAATGAGAAGGTCCCCCTTGGCATTTTGCTCTTAGGATCTAGTTTTCCATATTTTTGAGGCTCTTTCAAGACTCCTGTCCAGCCTTTGCATGCCAGGGCGTTGGTCATGACCTCCTATTGAACCCTACCTCCTCCCAAGTCCATCTAGGTCTCTTTACAACACAGTTTTGCTCCCCCACCCTTGGCCCTGAGTGTTTCTGACACCTGGCCTCATTCCTAAGGTTCTTGCTCAGGGAGGTCAGTAGAATATCTGCCATATATCAACCTGATAAATGGATTGTCTCCCAAGCATCTTCCTTCACACATTAAATTTTAGGACATATCAAACTTAAGAGTGGACTCTATTTCAAAAGCATGTTTAGAAGGAACTTATGTAGCACTCACATTTTCCCCTTGCGTATATAACATTCTTGTAGGTGGTCAGTTCTGCCAAGCGAGTCCAGGGGAGCCCATTTAGCCTCTAGGATGAAGTGAAAGCACTGGAACCTTAGAATCTTTGGGAGTAATAATAGTGGGATAGAATACAACTGCAGTGTAGAACAGTGTTTCTACGGGAAACTATTTTCAGAGTTCCGCCTTGGATTGCTGGGACTCCTTTTTTTTTTTTTTTTTTTAGATGGAGTATCGCTCTATCGCCCAGGTTGGAGTGCAGTGGTGCGACCTCAGCTCACTGCAACCTCTGCCTCCTGAGTTCAAGCAATTCTCCTGCTTCAGCCTCCTGAGTAGCTGGGGCTGCAGGCGCTCGCCACTAGGTTCGGCTCATTTTTGTATTTTTAGTAGAGACGGGTTTTCACCATGTTGCCAGGTTGGTCTCAAACTCCTGACCTTATGGTCCACCTGCCTTGGCCTCCCAGAGTGTTGGGATTACAGGCGTGAGCCACCGCACCTGGCACTGGGATTCCTTTAACTGCCTGCAATGAGACTGGGCAGCCCCCTACCCCCTATTAAAAGAAAAGAAAAAACACCCCCTGCAATGTATTGAGGAATCGCTGCGTACCGGGCAGTGCAAACTCATTATCAGTCACGTCGCTTCATCCTCACATGAACTCTGTGAGCTGGGCATGGCTGATCTCCATATTTTACTAATAAAGGTGTGGAGGCTAAGAGACCGCTCTCGGTGGCTTTCGACAGGGATTCTCATAACATAAAGTCTGGGTGGGTGCTAGGAAAAGAAAAAGGAGTCTAGAAAATTGAAAAGGTGAGCAGAGAGTCAGAGATGGCGCAGAAGATGGAATAAAGATGGGGGCAGAGGCAGCCTGGCTCAGGGTAGGACATTTGTAGACATTATAGAGAGTCGACCGTTGAACAAGACGAATTTGAACTGCACAGGTTCACTTATACACAGGTTTTTCCAGTAAAATCCACACTGAGTGTGCCTGCCTCTCCTGCCTTCCCTTCCACTTCCTCTGCCTCTTCTGCCTCTGCCACCCAGAGACAGCGAGAGCAACCCCTCCCCTTCCTCCTCCGCAGCCTACTCAGTGTGCAGACAAGAAAGATGAAAACCTTCATGGAGCTCTGCTTGCGCTCGACGAAGAGGAAATATTTTTCTTCCTCATGATTTTCTTAATAACATTTTTCTTTTCTTTGGTTTACTTTATTGTAAGAATACATTGTATATTTCATACATGAAATATGAGTTAACTGACTATGTTATCAGTAAGGCTTCCCGGTCAACAGTAGGCTCTTGGTAGTTAAGTTCAGTAGAATATTAGGCAGACATCAGCCTGACTCCTTTTTTTGGGAATCAAAAGTTATACACGGATTTTTGAAGACATGGGGGTCAGCATTCCTCACTCCACATTGTTCAAGGGTCAGCTGTGTTCCCTTCCCTGTGACCTGTCTTTGGCAAAGGGAAACTCAGATCCTGTTGTAGGGTCTTTGAAACAATGGACAATGGCCACAGTGGCCCACGAGGGACAAATATTTACATGGCAGTGCGGGGGATTCAGTTCCCACAAATAGGAGATTTCCAAGGAGTTCCACAACACACACACAGAGATACACACACAGAGACACACCCAGACACACACACACAGATATACACACAGAGACACACCCAGACACACACACACAGATATACACACAGAGACACACCCAGACACACACACACAGATATACACACAGAGACACACCCAGACACACACACACAGATATACACACAGAGACACACCCAGACACACACACACAGATAACACAAGAACACCAGACACACACACAGATATACACACAGAGACACACCCAGACACACACACACAGATATACACACAGAGACACACCCAGACACACACACACACAGATACACAGACACACACACACAGAGACACACACAGACACACACACACAGACACAGGCACACACACACAGACACACACACAGACACACACACACAGACACACACAGAACACACCACAGACACACACACACACAGACACACACAGACACACACCACACACAGACACACACACACACAGACACACACACAGACACACACAGACACACACACAGACACACACAGGCACACACACACAGACACACACACAGACACACACACAGACACACACACACACACAGACACACACACACAGACACACACACACACAGACACACACACACACACACACAGACACACACACACACACACAGACACACACACACACACACACACACAGACACACACACACACACACACACACACACACACACACACACACACACACACAGACACACACACAGACACACACACAGACACACACACAGACACACACAGACACACACACAGACACACACACAGACACACACACAGACACACACACAGACACACACACAGACACACACACACACACAGACACACACACACAGACACACACACACACACACACAGACACACACACACAGACACACACAGACACACACACACAGACACACACACACACAGACACACACACAGACACACACAGACACACACACAGACACACACACACAGACACACACACAGACACACACAGACACACACACAGACACACACACAGAGACACACACACACACAGACACACACACAGACACACACACAGAGACACACACACACACAGACACACACAGACACACACACAGAGACACACACACACAGACACACACACAGACACACACACAGACACACACACAGACACACACAGAGGCACACATTTTCAATGCTCTTTTCCTCTTTTTCCTAACTCATTTCCCCTCCCTTGGATGAGGCAGGTAGTTGGGGAGTGGGTAAGAGTTACTGCAGTAAGAAGAGAAAGTTGCAATAGGTATTTTTAGTCCTGGAGGTGGTCAAGGATGGTAGTAGAGTCCTTCAACGACCCCAGCTTTTCACCTCCTCTGCCCCATATTCATGCCCGTTGCCACGTAACTTCACAGTGCCCTCCCACCAGGCATGAATCACCTGCCCTGTCCCTGGGTCTGGGCTCAGTCACGTGACTTGTTTTTGCCATCAGTGTGTAAAAGCCGCGACTCAGATTCGGGCTGGAGAGAGGTTTGTCGCCTAGAACTTGTTTTCTTCTTCCCTTTCCCCTTTTCTTTCCTTTCCTTTCCCTGTCCTGTAGTGTCCTGTCCTGTCCTGTCTTGTCTTGTCTTGTCTTGTCTTGTCTTGTCTTGTCTTGTCTCACTCCATTACCCAGGATGGAGTGCAGGAGTACAATAGTGTGATTTTTTTTTTTTTTTTTTAGAGATGGGAGTCTCGCTTTGTCGCCCAGGCTGGAGTGCAGTGGCGTGATATTGGCTCACTGCAACCTCTGCCTCTTGGGTTCAAGCAATTCTCCTGTCTCAGCCTCCCAAGTAGCTGGGACTACAGGCACACGCCACCATGTCTGGCTAATTTTTGTATTTTTAGTAGAGACAGGGTTTCACCATATTGGTCAGGCTGGTCTCGAACTCCTGACTTCAGGTGATCCACCAACCTCAGCCTCCCAAAGTGCTGGGATTACAGGCGTGAGCCACTGCGCCCAGCCAGTGGTGCCATCTTGGCTCACTGCAACATCTGCCTCCTGGGTTCAAGTGATTCTTGTGCCTCAGCCTCATGAATAGCTGGGATTACAGGCGTGTACCACCACGCCCAGCTAGTTTTTTGTATTTTTAGTAAAGATGGGTTTTCACCAAGTTGGCCAGACTGGTCTCGAACTCCTGACTTCAAGTGATCCACCTGCTTTGGCCTCCCAAAGTGCTGAGATTACAGGCGTGAGCCACCGCGCCCAGGCTGGAGCTTGTTTTCTCGTGCACTTCAGCTATGGCCATAAGAACATGCCCAGGCCAGCCTGCTGAGGATGACAGATATATGAAACAGAATCAAATTCTCCAGATGACCTAGACGAACTCAGCCTGGATCCGCAGCACACACGAGCGAGGCCAGCTAAGTTCAGCAGAGCCACCTGGTCTATGTCAGCAGAACCCTGCCAACTTGTGAAAGATAAATTTAGTTTTGTATGTGTATGCCCTGAATTTTTTTAAAAAATTAACTTCTAATTTTGAGATATTTGTACATTCACATGCAGTTGTAAGAAATAATCGAGATCCTGTGTACCCTTTACCCGTTTTTTTCCAATAGTAACAGCATATAACAGCACAATGTTATAATCAGGATACTGACATTGATACTGTCAAGATACAGAACATTTTTGTTACCATAAATTTCCCTCATCTTGCCATTTTATAGCCACAACCCCTGACTTTCTGCTCCCACCCCCTCCATAACTCCTGACATCCACTAATCAACTCTTCTAGATTCCACTAGACAACTCATTTCTAGAATGCTGTCATTTCAAAAACGTTATGGAAATGAAATCATACGTAGGTAACCTTTTGAGATTGACTTTTTTTTTTTTTTTGAGACGGAGTGTCGCTCTGTCACCCAGGCTGGAGTACAGTGGCATGATCTCGGCTCACTGAAAGCTCCACCTCCTGGGTCCACGCCATTCTCCTGCCTCAACCTCCCGAGTAGCTGGGACTACAGGCGCCCGCCAACACGCCTGGCTAATTTTTTGTATTTTTGGTATAGACGGGATTTCATCATGTTAGCAAGGATGGTCTCTATCTCCTGACCTCATGATCCGCCCGCCTCGGCCTCCCAAAGTGCTGAGATTACAGGCGTGAGCCACCGCGCCCAGCCGAGATTGGCTTTTTTCCCACTCAGCCTAATCCTCTGGAGATTCATCTAGGTTTTTGTGTTTATCAATAGTTTGTTCCTTTTTACTGTTGAATAATATCGCATGGAATGTAGCACATTTTGTCTAACCAGTCACCTACTGAAGGACATCTAGATTGCTTCTAGCTTTGAGCTCTTATAGCTTCTTCTTTTTCAATATAGCTGCTATAAACATTTGTGTACAAACTTTTGTGTGACTGTAAGTCTTCATTTCTCTGAGATAAATACCCAGGAGCTCAACTGCTGGGCCATATGGCAGTTGCATATTTAGTTTTCTAAGAAACTTCCAAACACCACCATTTT